ATTGCCAGTTCATTTTTCCAGCTTCTGATGTTTATATAAATAGCCTGTAGAGCTAGAGCTGCGTTCTAATACCAAATCTACCCCTTTCTGGCTGTATAATTTTGGCCAAGCTATGATAAAATAAGGATTATATTGTTTTCCTCTGAAGCCTGGTAGGAGAATTAAATTGGGAAATGTATATGACGTGCTTAGCAGAGCACCTGGCAAACTATAAGCACAGTGGAGGAAAGGTGCGTGGTGGTTTTTCACAGCTCACCCTGCAAAGTGCAAGTAGGAGTGCAGCTCCTCTGAGGCCCTGGAGACCCTGAGTGCCTCTGTGGTTCTCCTGGCCCCCCAGGGCTACAGGGCTGTGCCCATGGAGCGCTGGCACTCAGCACCCTGCTGGGTCTGGCCCTGCTCTGAGCACTTCCAGGCAGTATCTTGGAAGAGTCTTGTGAGGGAGGGAGGCTCACAGCCCGAGTTAGGCTTAGAGAGCTCAACACTGTGAGCCACTGTCGCACTTAGGAGGTGAAAGTGGCCAGTCTGGAGGGAAGTGATGGAGCCCAGGAGAGGAACTTCATGGAGGCACCCACTGCCCTCCTGGAAGCAGACAGGCTGTGGCCAGTTGCCGTGTCCTGGCCCCTACCTTGCAGGGGTGTGAGATGGCCCTTCATGGACAGGGATAATGATGCCATTGGGGATGCATGGAAGGAAGGAGAGGAGACTCAGACAGGGCATAGGAAGTTTATTTTACAGCTAATTTTTACACATTTGTTTAATCTATCACCCAGGGTCATTTGTCAAGCGACTGTCCTGTGGACCCCGTTCCCAGCAACGGGCAGCCTGGGAAGGGGGAAGAAAGAGCTCTCCAAAGGTTCAGCAGAGAGGAAGTGCTGGTAATACAAGGCCCAAGGTGCAGGAGCCGGGCCGGGTCAGCTCCCAGGGTGTGCGGGCGCTCACCCATAACACCTCTCACGAAGTCCGGAAATTAGTCTCATCCACAGTGGCGGGTCTTCTGCTCAGGTGGCCGCACCAGTGGGCCCGGCTGCCCAGAGAGAGGCCCCTGAGCAGCCTGGGGGACACCCAGCTGTCAAGAGGCTAAGATTTGATTCTGGTCATTAATACAGGGGGAGGAAGTTGTTTATCCAACACAAACAGGAAACTTTGGTTGTTCGGTTAGTTGAAAAAGTCAGTTTAAGTTTTAAGAAAACTCTTTCACAAATTTGTGTGACATTCTAACTTCTCTGAAAACATAAACACTTATTTTCAAATGTCTCTCTCCTAAGAGAGGGCCAAATACTTGTGCTGTTACTGGTGTATCACATTTTCTGTGCACAAACCACCACAATATTGCATGGACTAGCATTTCCTGCTTCCTTTTTACATGGATTGAGAGAACGGGACACTCGGGAACAACCTGCGTTCCAGAGCCTTCTGGAAAAGATGAAGTCAAACTGTCCATGTTTGCAGATAACATGATCCTACATATAGAAAAACCTGAAGACTCTATCAAAAAATTGTTAGAGCTGATAAACGATTTCAGTAAAGTTGCAGGGTATAAAATCAACACATAAACATTAGTAGCGTTTTTATACTCCAATAACAAACTAGCAGAAAAAGGAATCAAGAAAGCAAGCCCATTTAAAATAGTCACCAGAAAAATACATCCTCATCATGTGGGCCCCAGTGGTGTAGGGGTGCCTCACCCACACCTGGTTTGACAACTTTTTTCTGGTCTACTCATGTTTAAAATGTTATTTCAAAACATTCATATTAGCTGTCATTGGAACAAGTCTTTATCCTTCTTACACTCATATAGAAATACTTTATCTCATTTGTTAATTCAAAATGTATTTGGTTCCTCCTATGCGTCTGACTCATAATAGTTAACTTACATACGTATGACAGGCATCGATCATTTGGGGCATGACTCTCAGTGAACACACAGCTCTACTGCGGGGAGCAGGCATACAAGGGCCCACAAGATGTGAGGGTTTCAGAGTGACACTGGCAGCTGGCACTAGGATCACAGAGGAACCAGACAGAACACATACCAAAGGGAGTGGTAAGGGGAGGTTAATAAAGAGAGATTTGCTTTGTCATCATCACCACTACCGCCATCATCATCATCATCACCATCATCACCA